CGTGTCAACGCGATCACAATGAAACGCGCCGTAGCGGCAGGAGCTGACGTGTACGCGGTTGACATTCGGGAAGCCGAGGCAGCAGACACAGGAGGGGATTTAAAGAAACTGCTAGCTGACGTATCGAATGATCTGGCAGCACTTTTGAAGCAGTACAGTGACATTTTCCCGGACGACCTACCGACGGGACTGCCACCTCAGCGACCGCACGACCATAAGACAGAACTAGAACCGGGGGCACAACCTACAGTACAGCGACAGTTCAGACTGACCCAACCCGAACTGGACGAACTAAGGAAGCAGCTGGATTACCTGCTCGAGAAGGAGTTCATTCGCCCTAGTTCGTCGCCTTTCGCAGCACCAATACTGTTCACGCCGAAAAAAGACGGGGGTTTTCGCATGTGCATAGACTACAGAGCCATGAACAAGGTTACCATAAAATCCCGTTACCCCATCCCGCGAGCCGACGAACTGATCGACCAATTGCGCACAGCCCGGGTTTTCTCGAAAATTGACCTTCGGGGAGGTTACCACCAGATTCGCGTCAACCCACTTGACTGCCCTAAGAGAGCCTTCCGAACACGCTACGGATCCTTCGAATACACCGTCATGCCTTTCGGACTGACCAACGCCCCCGCCACCTTTCAAATGACAATGAACGAAGCCTTCCGCCCGCTCTTAGATAAGTGTGTCATCGTATACCTTGACGACATACTAATTTACAGCCCCGACAGAGCACAGCACTTACAGGACATCGAAGCGGTTTTTAGGATACTGAGTGAAAACCGCCTACTGACGAAAGCGTAGTGTGAATTCTTACAGGACCGACTAGAGTTTTTGGGACACATTATTTCAGCCGCAGGAGTGGAAATAGACCCAAAAAAGATCGCGACGATTCAAGCATGGCACGCGCCAACTAACTTGACTGAGTTGCAGAGTTTTTTGGGGTTCGCCAACTACGTGCGTCGGTTCGTACCCGACATGGCCAAGCTGACTACCCCGTTGACCGACCTGCTGAGGAAGGGGGTTGAGTACACGTGGGGGGAGAAAGAGCATGATGCCTTCTCGGCCCTCAAAAATATTTTGCGCTCACCACCCGTACTTCACATCGCAGATCCGCACCGCCCATTCGAGCTCGTCACTGATGCTAGCGACATTGCTGTGGGAGTAGCAGGACTTCGGGAACGGCCTCCAGCCAATCGCGTACGAGTCCCGCAAGCTTCACCCGCCCGAACGCAACTACCCGATACACGACCGCGAGATGTTGGCGATCGTGCATGCGTTTAAGGTGTGGCGATGTTACCTCACGGGAGCAGACGTGACAGTACAAACAGACCACCGATCTCTACAGTACCTGCGCGCCCAACCGAACCTCAACCCACGACAGATCCGCTGGTTGGACTATCTGGAGTCCAACTTCCACTACACGGTCACGTACAAAAAAGGTGCATCCAACATCGCCGACGCACTCACACGCCCCACCGCCCAACTCCACGCCATCCTACTCGCCCAAACCAACCCACTGTTAACAGGCCTGTTCACCCACGGATACCGTACTGACCCATTTTTCACAACCGGAAATCCACAGCAACTGGCAGAGGCCAAAGGAGTCTATTACGTAAAAACAGGCACCAACCGCATCTGGGTACCCGCGTATTCACTACTGAGGGAACCGCTACTGCAGGAGGCACACGACGGGATCACCTCATGACATTTCGGGGTAGAAAAAACACGACAACAACTGCAGCGGTATTACTACTGGCCGGAGCTGTTGACCGACGTACAGCACCACGTGGGCTCCTGTCCTACGTGTCAGGTGATGAAGAGCTCGCGAAAAAGAAAGGCGGGTCAGTTGCAGCCGATTCCACCGCCTGAGCGCGCCTGGCAGCAGGTTACCATGGATTTTGTCACAGGGTTACCGTCGGACCCTGGGGGTAACGACGCAGTTATGGTCGTCGTTGACAGGTTGACGAAGATGGCACACTTCGCTGCGTGCAAGAAGTCGATCTCAGCCGAAGAAACCGCTCGCCTGTTCATCGCAGCCGTCGTTCGACTGCACGGGTTACCAGCCGCGATAATCAGTGACCGCGACACGAAGTTCACCAGCAACTTCTGGGAAAAACCTCTAGGAGCAGTTCGGGACAAGGCTACAGTTCAGCTCGTCGTACCACCCCGAGACCGACGGTCAAACGGAGCGAACGAATCAGACGATGGAGCAGTTGATTCGTGCCACGTGCGACGACCCGACCACTTGGGAGCAGCAGCTACCACTGATTGAGTTCGCGTACAACAATGCAACGTCAGCAACGACGCAGCAGTCCCCTTTCTACCTGAACTACGGGCAAAACCGTACAGTGCCCATGACGCCGAGTCCGGACAACCCAACGCCACGAGCACAGCAATTCGCCGAAATTCTGCAAGCTGCCCGCACCAGAGCCGCAGAAGCAATTAAAAAAGCCAACGTCATCGCTAAGCGCAACGCTGACCGCTACCGCCGCCCAGTCACGTACCAGTCAGGAGACTACGTACTGCTCGACACCCATAACTTGAGACTGCCCGTCGCACCGAAATTACGACCCCGCTACTGTGGACCGTTTCAAATCAGCCACATGATTACACCAGTGACAGCCCACCTACTGTTGCCGACGGACTGGTACATCAGCCGTTCGTTCCACGTCGGCCTGCTCCGCCCATAAATCTCAACCACAAGCCAACTGCCTCGCCACCGCCCGCCATCCATAACTCGCCCTACATCGGAACCGATCATCGAGCCCGAAAAAATCCTGAGCCATCGGATTCGACACCCCACGGGAATCAGGAGGATTGAATTCCTCGCTGGAAGGATCGCACGCCAACTGAAGATAGCTGGGTGCCCCTGGCCAACATCGAAAACCACCCTGCCCTGCAAGTGTACCTGAGGAGCCGGGGTTTCCACGATATACACGCACTCACGTAGCGGAGGAGGCTTCTTGAGGGGGGGGGTAGTGTAAGGAGTTTTCTCGATATTCCTTAGCGCGCCCTGCAACATCGCGTACCACAGCAGCCGTTGTTCGCCCGTTACTGCTAACGGGGCTTCGCTGACTTCGCGCACGCTGTTTCACCAAACCTCGCACAGCTGGCCCGGCCGTATCGGCCTACGCTTCGGGACTAGCCCGATCCTCGCTGCCAGCGTAGCACTAGCTAGCTCGCACGCACCGCGTTACCGTTTGCATGTTTCGCGTATAAATGTTCGCTCACGCCTTCGCTCACATTTTGTACTCGTTTTGACACCTTAGTGCAATTCTCGCTACTTCAATTCATTGCACCCGTAACAATTTCTTTCCTATGAGGAGACCCCCCCCATTATTTCCCTGTATTTTTAGCTATACCCTAGGGTGTTGTCTCCAGGAGAATACGGTTATTGCCGCATTTTCCATATCTTGCACAATGACACCGCCAGCTCATTCACACTCGGCGCCTCACCCAACCCGAATCCTACCAAGCATGATATTGTTTGTACCGTACCTCCAGTCTAGCGCCCTGTAGGCACCTCAAGGCACCGCCCATCTCCTCTTACCATCAATGATAAAATGGCAAGTGGCACAACTACCTACATGCACCACCACCACCACCACCATCTACACCTATTCCTTGAGAACAATAGATTCCTTGACAAGAACAGAGAGGAGGGAGAACTCAGCCGTTGAGGGGCATGCATGCTGCCCTTGAGTGGAAAGAAACAGAGGACAGGTGGAGAGGACGGATCCCCAGACACGCAATAAGAATCTTCCGACCGGCACCTCTCCACCGAATATTTCTGCCCTGCACCAGGCACAACCTTTCGACTAGAAGCGCATCGCTTTATAAGGAGTCGCAGGATGCTCCTGCAAGGGTCAATCAGAGCTGTCCTCAGTTCCTCTTGCCAAAACCACCTCAGTTTCTCACTGGCTCCCGAGCTCCACCCCTCACAGCCACCACCCTGTGCTGTGCGGAGAAGTCTCAGTCTCCCCATCCAAAGTTTTGTCTCTAGTCTCTCATCTCCTTCCTCCCTAGCTCGCTCCCACGCAGCTGCATTCTTAGAGGTGTCAAAACTCTCGCCTCCAATCTTTTATCTCCTCTCTTCCTAGCTCCCTCCCACGCAGCTGGCGATCTGCCCAGGCACGAGCGATGCCTGGTGTCTCGCACACACGCTCTTCACAGCACCCGAAGACACACACACACCCCCAACGCACACCCCCCCCTCTTCCCCCTCAGGTGCCTCATCGTTCGTTATTGAAAGTGTTGTGTGAGAGGTGCTCTCAGAGGGCGTGCTGGCGTGGTTGCTGTTGATAAGAGAAACCATCGCTGTTGGCGTGGCTTCCTTGCTGCTACTGCTGCTGCTGCTGGTAGTGTTCGTGCTGCTGCTGCAGCGAAAAGCAGGAGGGATTGGCCGAAGAGGGGTGGCAGTGGAAGAATCACAATCGCTCTTATCTGCTGCAGCAGCAGTAGGAGCAGTAGGAGCAGTAGGGGCAGTGGCAGGAGCAGCAGCAGCGCTTGGGGTAGCAGGCATGGGCTCGGGTTGGCATAGTGGCAGACTCCCCGATTCAGCGCAACTCTCTAGAGAGGCAGAGGGGGAGAGACCTGCACCGGAGAGAGTTGCAGCCTGGTCATTCCCATTTGCATTCGCATTCGCATCAGAGGAAACTGGCGCTTGACCAGCACTCAGTGCAGCTACAGGAGAAGCAGAAGCAGAAGCAGAAGAACCAGCAGCAGAGCCTGCACCAGCAGCACTAGAACTGGGACCAGCAACAGCAGGAGCTGCATCCGCAGCAGGCACAGCAGCAGGCGCAACAGCAGCGCCCGCTGCTTCATCCCTCACGTCCCCTGCTCCCCCCGCCCCTGCGGCCCCTCGGTGTGGGTTGACAAAGGAGGGCTGGATGAGCCCGCCTGAGCTCTGCCACATCTTCCACGCCGCCTCCTCGTCCGGCTTTATGTTGGTCAGCCCCGCCGGGCGACAGAAGTAGCTCAGGCTCACGAGCATTTCAACGAGTAGCAGCTCGAAGCACTCGCGGTCCACGTAGTGGAGGGTCTGAGGGGAGGCAGCGGGGAGAAAACGGGAGAGAGTAGGGGATGGGGGAGGGGGAAATGAAGTAGCTCAGGCTCACGAGCATCTCGACTAGGAGCAGCTCGAAGCACTTGCGGTCCACGTAGTGGAGGGTCTGAGGGGAGGCAGCGGGGAGGGGAAGGGGAGGGGGAGGGGAGGGGAAGCAGCTGAGGCTGACGAGCATCTCGACTAGTAGCAGCTCGAAGCACTCCCGGTCCACATAGTGGAGGGTCTGAGGGGAGGACAAAGGGAGCGGAAGTGCAGAGTGGAGGGGGAAGTGGTTCAAACAAGCGGGGGAAGGGGGTGGGGGAAGGAGGGTTCTGAAGAGAAGTAGCTCAGGCTCACGAGCATTTCCACTAGCAGTAGCTCAAAGCACTCCATGTACACGTAGTGGAGGGTCTGAGGGGAGGCAGCGGGGAGGGGAAGGGGAGGGGGAGGGGGAAGGGAAGCAGCTGATGCTGACGAGCATCTCGACTAGTAGCAGCTCGAAGCACTCCCTGTACAGGATGTAGAGGGTCTGAGGGGGGAACAGGCGATGGGAAAGGGGAGGGCAGAGGAAAGGGGGAAGAGTGGGGGAGAAGCTGAAGAGAAGTAGCTCAAGCTCACGGGCACCTCGACTAGCAGCAGCTCACAGCGCTCCCAGTGTTGTAGTACTGGTGGGTCTAAGGGGAGGCAATGGGCAAAGGAGACAGTGTTGTAGTACTGGTGGCAGTGCGGACAAACAATATATATTCTGACCAATGACCAGCAGCAGAAGCTCAGAGCACTCCTCCCTGTCCACACAGTGAAGAGCCAGAGGGAGAAGGGGGGGGAAGAGAGGAAGAGAAGGGGAAAGCAGGGAGGGAAAGATTGTTAAGGAGACCACAGCATCGGCTGCTGAGAAGCTAGACTGGCCGCACCTCAAAGAAGTCTCTGTCAACGCAGCGAAGGGTCTGGATGAAGCAAGGCAGGCATGATAAGACAGCAGGAGGGGCTGGGGAGTTTCCAAGAAAGAATTTGCTGGCGGTTGGGGCTGTGTGGTGGCTGGCGGTTGCAATCGCACCACCCATGCCAGCACCCAACCTCCTCTACCCATACCCTCCCTGCCCCCCCTCAATCCCTGGCCTACCTAACCCCCTCCCTCCCCACCATTCCCCACCATCCTCCTCTCCCACCCGACTTTGCGAGAGCGTTGGCGTTTGTGTCAACGGGAGTTGTGTGTTGGCCCCGTCCACGCTTGGGCGGAGCCGACTTCGTGGTCGGTTGTGAGGGGAGCAGCCGACCTGCAGCAATGGGCGAGCTGGTTGACGAGAAGGTCGACCTGCACGGGGGCCACTGCACGGGCGCCGACTTCAGGGAGGTCGACCTAGGAAGTCGACCTGCGGAGGACGTCAACTTGGTGGCGTCAACTTGGGGCAGCCGACTTGGGTGGTCGGCTGACAGGACTGCGGGTCGACCTGGTGGTTGGTCGACCAGACCTGCTGGTCGTCTTGCTGGTGGTCGACCTGACCTGGTGGTCAACGGAGGAAGGGCCAACGTCGACCTCGACTCAGGATGCCGAGCAGCTGAGCGTCGAGTAGCAGGGCGTCAACTTGGTGACGCCGACTTCGGGTAGCCGACTTGGGTGGTCGGCTGACAACTGCACTGGTCGACATCAAGCTGGTCGACCAGGAGTGCTGGTCGACGTGGAGCTGGTCGACCAGGAGTGACGTCGACCTGGAGTTGGTCGACCAGGGGAGTGGTCGACCTGGTGAGATCGACTTGGAGGTGGTCGTCGACTTGGGAGGTCGACGGGCACATACGGGAGCAGCTGGTCGACGTGGTTGCCCTGTCGACCAGGTTACCTGGGTGACGAGGTTCTGCGGAGGAGTGCGACGGTCGCCCAGGCGAAGTTGGCGAGTCTGACCTCGGTGGTGGTATCCCGAGGTCGACATGGCGGATCAGGTGGAGTCGTCAGCACGAGGGTGACTTGGTGTGTGCGTTGTGCAGGTGACGAGGCTCAGCCCGCCAATCATCTGCAAGCACCTGCGAAGCAGGTGCGCTGCTGTTCTGCGGGAGCAATGCTGGCACGCCGTCAACCTGCGACGTTGGCACGCCGTCGACCTTTGCACTGCTGGAGCGCGGTCGACCAAGTCGTGCTGGAACGCGGTCGACCATGCTGCGCTGGCAGTCGACCGACCTGAATGCTAGCTCTGATGTAGTCTTGTCATGCCAACTTCATTGTACCATTGTTGTCAACTTTCTCTAGTGAAATTCTTGCCAACTTGCCCCGTGAACTAGCAAGCAGTGTGTGCACTAGGAAAACGACTAAGGACCAACGAACGCAGAGATCACACGAGCACCCGTGCCTAGCCCATAGTCTAGCTCCCGTTGTGGTAGTTATATCCGCATGGTGCGGTGAGCGTGGACGGCACACGACTTATCTTTTCAGTCAGGTCGACGTAGTGGTCACTTACCTAAGTTGCTCGTAGGCCGGCAGTCGTACAGTCCCTAGCGTGCGCTTAGGTGACACAGAGGTGACGGACACCCTGGAGGGACGGCTAGAGGATGCAAGGAGACGTCATGGGGCCCAGGAGTACGGGGCGATACCCTGGGCGGTCGTCGAGGCTGGACTCCGCACCATGTGAGCGACGGAGCATCCCCCTTCTCGACCAGCTTCTCCTCGACCGGTGACCAACGAAGGCGGCGTCGACGTGGGTGTCAACGCCGGAGGTGGCCAAGTCGGCAGCAGTGCGGGAGGCACGTCGAGGCAGCGTGGTGTGATTCACGCCGATGAAGTCGGCGGCGTTCAAGCACGAGGGGTGCAGTCGTTGGCGGCTGCAGGCTCCTCGCAGGGCGACGTCGGAGGACGACGAAGCGGATTGTCGCCGATGTCGGCGACCCAGGTGACGGCGGTGGGATTGCTCCGAGCTACGGCTACTTCAAGTTTACGCCGGACAGGATCCTGGTCACCCCGCCGCTTGTTGGTCGACCCGACATACTCACCTGGAAGGAAGTCATCGAGCCCCAGCTGGAGATGGCTGGGCTGATCGGCTTCGCCCGAGGGACCGTGGCGACGCCGAATGAGCACCACCTCGACTTGCGGGCGGAGTTTCGCGCCGTGCAGCTGTTGACCTTCACGTCCATCTCGCGGTGCTGCTCGTCGGGCGTGCAGATCGCCTTGAAGTGGTGCCGAGAGTACATCGACGCCGGCCACCGGGCGTGGCACTTCATCGAGTCGACCTACCAAGTCACTGACGACTTGTTCATCGCCCAGCTGGAGGGACAGCTAACGCACCTGCGTATGGGCGACGAGGAGACGGCGACCGACTACTGCAACCGAGCCCGGCGAATTCTCGTCACGATCAGGATGGCTGGTGCGCAGTACTCGACGGCGTCGTACGTCACCCACGTCATGCAGGGACTCTCGAGCAGCTACAACCTCCTAAAACGGCTGTCGATGGCGCCGAGCACGAGGTCGATGCTCAACGAGGACAACTTGACCTCGTACATCCTGCAAGACGAGGCGATGCAGGAGGCAGAGCGGTCACAGGAGCTCTTGGCGCAGGCGAACTTCGTCGCCCCGGCAAAGCAAGGAGGCCGACCGGGGGAGCGCGCACAGTCTGGCGGCGGTGGTAGCAGTGGCTGGAAGTCGGCCAAGGAAGTCGACAAGAGGAAGTCGACCAAGGACAGCGGTCGAGGAGGAGGAGGCCGACGTCGGGAGTGTTGGTTGTGCGGCGACCCTGACCACCTCTCCTTCGAGTGCCCCGACCGTAGTGACTCCGACGACGACGACGTCAAGGGAGGCCGCGGGAGGTCTGGCAGTCGTCGTCTTCGTCGAGGAGGGAAAAAGCCGCGCAAGGAGACGCAGTCGACCAAGTCGACCTCGGCGAAGGACGCCGACTCCTCTGCTGGCAGCAAGTCGCGGGACGACAAGACGGCGTCGTGCTCGCTGGTCGGCGTCGTGGAGCCGACCGTCTCGCTAGCGCCAGAGGCCGGAGAGGACTTCAAGGCGGTGGCGGCAGCTGTGCAAGCGAACCCGGCAGTGGTCCTGCTCGACAGCAGCTGCTCTCACCACCTGATGGGGACGAAGGAAGTCTTCGTCGACCTGCAGCCAAGCGGCTCCATCAAGCACGTGCGCGGCTTCAATGGGGCGCTACAGGACGTCCAGGGCCGCGGCACCGTCGCCCTGCAAGGGGAGGCCGGGAAGCAGGTGCTCATCCCCGATGTGCTGTACGTCCCGGGTGTGCGGGCAAACCTGCTGTCGTCCGGCCAGCTGAAGGAGCACGGCGTGAAGCTGCAGGAGGACGGCGACGAGATGTTGCTCGTCTCGGCAGCGGGAGAGGTGCTCGGTCGGGCGACGTACTCCGGACGTGTCCTCTGCACCGACCTGCGTCCCTGCTCAACGAGGTCGACGTCGCCCACGACGGAGGTTGTGGCCCTGCGGGCGATCGTCTCGAAGACGAAGTCGACGCCGGACAGGATGCATGCTAGGCTTGCGCACGTCGGCATGGACACCATACGGAGCTCGGCGAAGAACGAGGTCGCCATTGGGCTGGACCTCAAGTCGACGACGAGCGCCGACTCAACGTGTCTCGTGCGTCGGTGGGAAGCTGGCGCGGCACTCCTTCCCCGACCAAGTCTCCGACGACGACGACGTGCTGGCCGTCGTGCACATCGACCTGTGCAGGCCGTTCCGCGTGGCTGCGAAGGACGGCAGCTTGTACTTCTTGCTGCTGAAGGACCGCAAGACCCGCTACGTGTGGGTGAGGCCGGTCGCCAAGAAGTCGGATGTGCTGCTTGAGTTCCAGCAGTGGCTGGTGTTGGTGGAGAGACAGGTGAAGAAGTCGGTGCTGATGTTGCGCTCAGACCGAGGAGGGGAGTTCCTCGTGAAGAATTTCACCGACTTTGTGGACGGAAAGGGGATCGTGCACGACCTTACCTGTCCGTACGCCCCGCAGCAGAACGGCATGGCGGAGCGGGAGATGAGGACGATCGTGGAGTCGGTGAGGACGATGCTGCTGCACATGGGTGTGCAGCACCATTGGTGGCACCTCGCTCTGCGGCAGGCCGTCTGGGTCCGCAACTGCCTTGAGCGGTCAACGCTGCCGCCGAGGACGACTCCGTACCAGCTGCTGACCGGACAGAAGCCCGACTTGTCGCTGGCGCGTGTGTGGGGCTGTATGGCGCAATTCCTCGTACCCGAGCAGCAGCGTGGCGGGAAGCTGAAGCCGAAGGCCAGGTGGGGCCTTCACCTCGGCGTGTCGACAGCGAGCAAGGGCTGGGAGCTCCTCGACATCGACGCCAACCAGGTGGTCACCACCTCGGACGTGGTGTTCTACGAGGATATGTCGCTGGAGGTGTGGAAGTCGGAGCACGGGCCGGTGTCAGGTCGGACGCCGACCACCCCACCGACCGATACCTCGCCGGCGACGCTGCCTCTGCTCGCCGAGGTCGGTGAGCTTGCTGCTGAGGACGTCGAGGACGTCCGCCCTCCTTCCCCTCCCTCTACGACTCCTACCCCTCCGCTCCTGGTCGACCTCCGGGGGCTGACCTCGGTGTCGGCCTCCGGCGATGAGGGGAGCAGTGGGCCGTCACCTTCGGCGCCGACCAAGGGCATCGCCGGTGGCCGACGTGACGAGCGGCAAGTCGACGTGGGATTGAAGCCGACGTCGATAGGGGAGGAGCAGGTCGAGGAGCAGCAGCGGACAGGGGAGCAGGCAGCAGTGAAGCCGACCACGGAGCAGTCGGCAACCAGGCAGTCGGCAGGGAAGCGGACCATAGGGGAGAGGTCGACCAGGAAGTCGACTGAGGTGCAGCAGGACGATGAGGGCAGTGAAGACGGTGACGAAGGAGGGGACGCCGGGGAGTCCACCAAGAGTGACGTGGTGGAGGTCCGGCCTGAACCCCGGAAGTCTGATAGGCTTCGGAGGCCGCCGGACTTCTTCGTCCCCGCTGCCTTCACCACGGTGTACGACGTGGACGATGACGACGACCTGCTGTACGACGACGCCGAGGAGGATGAGGAGTTTCCGGAGCTCGACCCGGACATGCTGGCCGACCCCGAGCACCGTTGGGACATCTCGACGATGACAGTGAAGGAGGCGTTGGCGAGCTCGAAGGGCCCGGTGGTGAAGGCCGCCATGGAGGAGGAGATTCGCAGCCTCATCAACATGGGTACATGGGAGCTGGTCGAACGCCCGCCGGGAGTGAACATCATGAAGAACCGGTGGGTGTTGACGACGAAGTACCACATCGACGACACCGTCGAGCGCGAAAAGGCGAGGCTGGTCGTGAAGGGCTTCACGCAGGTGTACGGCGCTGACTACGACGAGACGTTCGCGCCGGTGGGCAGCTACGTCACGCTGAGGATCTTCCTCAGCATCGTCGCCGTGCTCAATCTCAACCTGATGCAGCTCGACATGAAGAACGCCTTCCTGCAGAGCAAGCTCGACCGGGTGCTCTACATGTCCCAGACGGACTACTTCAACGACGGAACCGGCCGGGTGTGCAAGCTGCTGAAGAGCCTGTACGGGCTGAAGCAGTCGCCGCTGCTGTAGTACTTGGCGCTCAACAACGTGCTGGTCGGCGCCGGGTGGAAGAAGAGCCAGGTCGACGAGGCTCTGTACTTCAAGGTCGGCGACAACGGAGTGGCCTGCTGGGTGCTCGTCTACGTCGACGACCTGCTCGCCGCCAGCAGCAGCACCGAGATGCTGAAGGAGCTGCTGGAGTCCGCCTTCAACCTTCGTGAGATCTCGCCGATGGAGAAGTACCTCGGGCTGGAGATCGTCTGCGACAGGTCGGCAAGGAAGCTGTGGCTGCCCCAGCAGGGCTACGCCGACAAGCTGCGTAGGCGCTTCATCGACGAGGAGCAGGCTGGGCGCACCCCGAAGACGCCGGTTTTGGTCACGCCTACGCCGAGCTCACCTTCGACGACAAGGAGGCACAGGAGCGACAGGAGGAGGAGTACCGGCAGAAGGTCGGCTCGCTGCAGTTCGCGGCGACGACGACGAGGCCGGACATCGCCTTCGCCTGCAGCAAGCTGGGGAGCGGCCTCACGGTGAGGAGCGACCAGCACTGGCGCGAGGTCGACCGCTGTCTCGCCTACCTCGCCAACACGCGTGACACCGTCCTGGAGTTCGGCGGTGGACCAGAGTCGCTGAAGCTGGTCGGCTACGTGGACGCCGACGACGCCGGTGACAAGCAGAACAGGACGAGCACGGGCGGCTACGTGTTCGTCTACGGAGGGGCCGCAGTCTCCTGGTCGAGCCAGCGCATCAAGTGCGTGACGTTGTCGTCGACCGAGTCGGAGTACGTGGCGGCCACCGAAGCCGGCAAGGAGGGACGCCGACTTCGCTTCCTTCTTGTAGAGTTCCGGCAGCTGGATGTCGGAAAGCCGACCGTCCTTCGGGTGGACAACAAGTCGGTCATCACAGTCGCCGAGGGCATGGGGTTGACGGGCAACCTCAAGCACATGGAGCGGCGACAGGCTTGGCTGCAGCACATGGTGAGGCGCGGGAAGTTCTCGCTGAGGTACATCCCGACCACCGAGCAACCGGCCGTCTTTCCGACGAAGGCGCTGCACTATCCGGCCTTCAACCGGTGCTCCGTCGCCATCGGCCAGGTGCGCCTGGCCGACGTGGACGACGAACATGACGAAGTGCAGCAGTAGGTGCCATGCCCTCTTGCATGGCTGGTGCGGTGGACGACGTGCTGTGTGTTGGGTGCACGTCGACGAGCTATTCTCCGAGGAGTACTGTCGTGTGGGCTGGGGGCCCAAGCGTGAACGAGGCAGGGGAGTGTCAACGGGAGTTGTGTGTGTTGGCCCCGTCCACGCTTGGGCGTAGCCGACTTCGTGGTCGGTTGTGAGGGGAGCAGCCGACGTGCAGCAGTGGGCGAGCTGGTTGACGAGAAGGTCGACCTGCACGGGGGCCACTGCACGGGCGCCGACTTTAGGGAGGTCGACCTAGGAAGTCGACCTGCGGAGGACGTCAACTTGGTGGCGTCAACTTGGAGCAGCCAACTTGGGTGGTCGGCTGACAGGACTGCGGGTCGACCTGGTGGTTGGTCGACCAGACCTGCTGGTCGTCTTGCTGGTGGTCGACCTGACCTGGTGGTCAACGGAGGAAGGGCCGACGTCGACCTCGACTCAGGATGCCGAGCAGCTGAGTGTCGAGTAGCAGGGCGTCAACTTGGTGACGCCGACTTCGGGTAGCCGACTTGGGTGGTTGGCTGACAACTGCACTGGTCGACATGAAGCTGGTCGACCAGGAGTGCTGGTCGACGTGGAGCTGGTCGACCAGGAGTGACGTCGACCTGGTGTTGGTCGACCAGGGGAGTGGTCGATGTGGTGAGATCGACGTGGTTGCCCTGTCGACCAGGTTACCTGGGTGACGAGGTTCTGCGGAGGAGTGCGACGGTCGCCCAGGCGAAGTTGGCGAGTCTGACCTCGGTGGTGGTATCCCGAGGTCGACATGGCGGATCAGGTGAAGTCGTCAGCACGAGGGTGACTTGGTGTGTGCGTTGTGCAGGTGACGAGGCTCAGCCCGCCAATCATCTGCAAGCACCTGCGAAGCAGGTGCGCTGCTGTTCTGCGGGAGCAATGCTGGCACGCCGTCAACCTGCGACGTTGGCACGCCGTCGACCTTTGCACTGCTGGAGCGCGGTCGACCAAGTCGTGCTGGAACGCGGTCGACCATGCTGCGCTGGCAGTCGACCGACCTGAATGCTAGCTCTGATGTAGTCTTGCCATGCCAACTTCATTGTACCATTGTTGTCAACTTTCTCTAGTGAAATTCTTGCCAACTTGCCCCGTGAACTAGCAAGCAGTGTGTGCACTAGGAAAACGACTAAGGACCAACGTACGCAGAGATCACACGAGCACCCGTGCCTAGCCCGTAGTCTAGCTCCCGTTGTAGTAGTTATCTCTGCAGTTTGCTCAGGTGGCACCCGTACGAGTGCTCTGCCTGCCATGCCAGCGTGCGCTGCACCATCGGCAGCACCCACGCCAGCAGCTGCTCCTCCAGTGCTGCTCCTTCCGTGCTGCTGCTGCTCCTCCAGTGCTGCTCCTTCCGTGCTGCTGCTGCTCCTCCAGTGCTGCTCCTTCCGTGCTGCTGCTGCTGCTGCCCCCACCCATGCCATTCCCCACCCTTTACCTGCGCCCTCTTCCAATCTGCACCTCTGCTCCGCAATGCACCACTGCATACACACACCCCCCAACCCCAACCACAATCCCAAGACCCATCCGTCCACAGCCCCTTGCCTCCCTCGCACCAATAACACCCACCTGAATGTGCAGGGAGCGTTGGCGTTTGCTCAGGTGGCACCCGTACGAGTGCTCTGCCTGCCATGCTAGCGTGCGCTGCGCCATCGGCAGCACCCACGCCAGCATCTGTTCTGTGCTGCGCCGCATCTCAGCCGCTACCTCCACGTCGAACGGACGGCTGCGATTGCTCAGCCGCCGCCGCACCTTGTGCTTCACTGTGGAGGGCAGGTGGCGGTATAGGTCGTCCCTGGGTGTATGGAAAAGGTGGGGAGCGGGGGGGAGGAGAGGGGGAGGGTCAGAAGAGAATAGGAAAGCAGAAGGGATTCCGAAGGGTGCTTGTTCGTGCATCTTGTGCTTTACTGTGGAAGGCAGGTGGCGGTATAGGTTGTCCCTGGATGTATGGTGGGGGGTTGGGGGGAAAGGAGACAGGGGAGGGGGAGGGAAGCAGGGGAGGGGAGGGGAGAGGGGAAGGAGAAAGAATAGGAGAGAAGAAAGGAGAGAAGAAAGGAGTAGAGGTGGTGCTTCTCCGTGTGCCTTGTGCCATCAGCTGCCTGTCCGTGCAGGCAGGGCAGGTTGCTGTCAAATCGACTTTGGGCAGAGGCAGGGAGGAGAGTGGAGAAGGGGGAGGGAAGTGGGGGAAACGAGAAGAGGGGAGGGAAAAGGGGGGGAGAAGCAACAGGCGGTTGAGAAGGGGCCAGGAGGAGCGGTGCGTGCCGGTGCACCCTGTGCTCTATATAAAGGGCATGTAGCGTTGCTGATTTTTTAGTCGACTAAAAAAAGAGGTCGCCATGGAGGGGGAAGAAGAAGGGGAGGGGGAAGAAGAAGGGGAGGGGGGGATGTGCAGGAAAAGGGTTTAGAGGAGGGGGGAAAGGGGGGGAAGTAAGGAGGAGACCGGAGCAAGAGACGGAGGAGAAGTGGGGAGGGTGGAGAGAGAAAGAACCACAGGATGGGGAGAGTGGGGTAGGGCGAGGGGGAAGGGAAGTTGGTGGAAGGGGCTTCCCGAGAACCTGTATATTCCTGCAACGCAACCACAGCTGCTTCTACCTTCTCTCAAAACAGCAACAGCACTTGTTTTCTCTCACCTCTGCGCTGCGCTCTCAGCAGCAGCGTGGGCTTGTTGAGAATGCGGTCCAGAATCTGCAGCGTGTGCGCGTAGCGAATCGACAGCCCTGCCAGGTGTTCGGGATCTGATCTGAGGCATCACAAACTCCTTCTTACCCCTTCTTACCCCTTCTTACCACTTTCCCGCCGCTCACCTCTGTGCTCTCAGCAGCAGCGTGGGCTTGTTGAGAATCCGGTCCAGAATCTGCAGCGTGTGGGCATAGCGGATCGACAGTCCCGCCTCGCCCACTGTCCCCGCCACACCCTCCCGCTCGTCCTCTGCTGCGGCCCCCCCTGTGCCGCTGCTGCCGCTGCTGCCACCTCCCCTCTGCCACTTGAACGTGGAGCGCACCTTGTAGGAGAGAATCGCCACTGCTGCTGCCAGCAGCTGGAGTAGGGGAGGGGATCGGGGGACGGGTGTGGGTGATAGAGCGCCGGAGGTATTTAATTCCCCCCTGCCGCCTCCCTGGTGCCACCTGAACTTAGACCAGTTCGTGTAGGGGGAAATAGTCATCAACTGCTGCTGTTAGGATCTGACTGAATCATGGTTGGGAAGACTTTAGAGAATTCTCAAAAGGAAGCGGCGTGGAATGGGATAATGGGTGAGAGGAGAAATGGGTGGGAGGATGGTGGATGGGATGTTAGCCGAGGGGAGCAAGGGGAGGGAGGGTGGTGTAGGAAGGTGCTTCTTTTTCTCCCCTCTTCTGCCACGTGAGCACGCCTTGGAGTTGTGGACTTAATGAGAAAGGATCAGCACTGCTGCTGCTAGAAGCTGGAATGCGGAGAAGAGAGGGGGTGGAAGGGGAAGTGGGATGGGGGGAGACGCATGGGAGCCACGGGGGTAAGGATGGTGAGGAGTCTCTTAAGGAACTGGTCAGCAGCAGCACTGCTGTAAACAGGTGGCCATGGGGCGTTGTTCCAGAAGAAGGCAAGCAGGGAAGGGGGGGAAGGGTGAGAGGAAGATGAGGGGAAAGCACGTAGATAGGAAGATGGGTCACCCCTACTGCTTTTCTAAGGCTCCACGAACCGCACTTAAGAGATGTGGGATGTGGGCAGGAGCAAGGAGCTGGCGGGTGGATTCATGGGTGCTTCACCACAACATGCTTGCAACCCACCCATCCATGCACCCACCCATCCATGCACCCACCCATCCTTGCACCCACCCATCCATGCACCCACCCACACATGCATCCATCCATCCATGCACCCACCCATCCATGCACCCACCCACACATGCATCCATCCACCCATCCATGCACCCACACTCCATTATCACCCATGTATACATCACCATGCACCACCCTATACGCACCATCATGCACTTATCAAAGTCCTCTACCCACAGGGATTCCTTTTGCAGTCGCCGAATGAGCTTCAGCTGCCACACACACAGAGAGAACCGCAAGGAGACCCAAAAACCCCACAGAACAGACTCACATGGAACATAACCACACAGAACAGAACCACACAGATAAAACCACATGAGCAACCACAAAGCTTAGTTGGAGCGTCGGAACGCATTAGGCGTGAGCATAGGAACCAGAAACTCTAGAATCATGCTCACGCGGGAAGGTAGAATAAAAATTGAGCAGAGCGAATGAACAGGGAAGCGGGAAAAGCAGAAGGGTGGGAGGAGGGGAAGTGGGGGAAGAGGGGGGAAGGGGGGAAAGAGGGGGGAAGGGGGGAAAGAGGGGGGAAGGGGGGAAAGAGGGGGGAAGGGGGGAAAGAGGGGGGAAGGGGGGGAGAGGGGGGTTGGGATACAGGAGGCTGCGCAAGTTGCTAACAGAGAGCATAAGTAGGTGCTGGATTGACAGGTTTTGTTTTAGAGTGCTGAGTGGCGAGATTTATAGTGTTAACAGAACAAAACCAGAACAAAACAAACGAAAAAAACTCCCACTTCCTCCCTTTCGCCCACCCTTCCTGATCCCCTCACCCATCTACCTGTGACTGAATCCCCTCACACAAAGGGTCTGACTTTTGAGTCGACTCAATGTCACCTCACCCATCTACCTGTGACTGAATCCTCTCACCCGGTGGCAAGAGCTGTAGGGACTAGATAGACTAGACAATCAACAATCCCTCTGCCTTTCACCCCATCCGCCCCCCTCACCCCCGTTCTCTCCTCCCAACACCCACCCACGCCCACACACGCCCACCCACCCACCCACCCACCTGTGACTGAATCTTCTCGCGCACAAAAGGGCTGGCGGCAATGGCGGTGGTGGCCCAGGAGGGTGCGTCCTTGGTGAAGCGCGCCATGCGCAGCGAGTGGGACGAGCTGGGGAGGGAGAGAGGGGGGGAAGGGGGATTGAAGAAGGGGGGAAGGGGGTTGAAGATGGGGGGAAGGGGCTTGAAGATGGGGGAAAGGGGGCTGAAGATGTGGTAACGGGGGGAACAGGGGGAAGGGGAGAGCAAGGTGTGAAGGGCATGGGATGGGGCATGGGATGGGGCATGGGATGGGGCATGGGATGGGGCATGGGATGGGGCATGAATTGAGCTTAGGGTTTCAGAACGGGTTTGAGCTTTGGTTGCGCTCTTTGCATGCCTTTTGAGGCGCCTCAATGGCCGCGCTCTTTGACTGCAAGTTTTGGATACAATTATGGCGGCGGTGGTGCCTTTGCAAATCTCACGCACACACATGTTCATACATGGATGCATGCGTGGACACATACACACGCACAGACACACACACAGCACACACACACACATACATACACACACACACACACTCACACACACGCACGCACACACACTCAAAACCTTCTACGTTCCCCCACCTGGGCATGAGGTTATCAAGGAGCGTCATCTCCACATGCAGGCGATTGGTAGCTGTTACCTTCTTCTCCAGAAACCTAATCGATGGGAGGGCGGGGCAGGATGGGAGCGCGGAAGCAAGAGAGGAGGAGGAAGGGGAGAGGGGGGGGGAAAGGGAAAGGAGAAGGGGCAGGGGGACAGGGACAGGGGCGAATGACTGTTGAGCCTTTTCAAAGATTTCACATGCAGGCAATTGGTGGCTGTTACCTGCTTCTCGAGAAACCTGATCGATGGGAGGGCGGAAGCAGGAGAGGAGGAGAGGACAGGAGGAGAAGAAGGGGATGGGGATGGGGTGACTGTTGAGCTCAGCAAGAGTCTTCCTTCATGGCCATGCGGGCGGCCAATGGCCGACTGGTGGCTGCAACTTCTTTTCCAGAAAAACAGATCAAGGGGGGGAAGGTGATGGGGAAAGTGGTGGGGGAGGTGCGGAGGAGGAAGGGGGAACAAAGAGGGGAACGTGGAAGGGAACAAGGTGCGGGGGGGGGGGGGGGGGAGACAGGATGATAATCGAGTCGAGCCAGAAGCTTGCAGGTGACTGGTGGCTGGTACGGTGGCTGGTACGGTGGCTGGTACGGTGTGGCTGGTACGGTGGCTGGTACGGTGGCTGGTACGGTGGCTGGTACGGTGGCTGGTACGGTGGCTGGTACGGTGGCTGGTACGGTGGCTGGTACGGTGGCTGGTACGGTGGCTGGTACGGTGGCTGGTACGGTGGCTGGTACGGTGGCTGGTACGGTGGTTGGTACGGTGGCTGGTACGGTGGCTGGTACGGTGGCTGGTATGGTGGTTGGTATGGTGGTGCCCTCTCCTCTAGAAGCCTCATGGGCCTCAGGCTCGGGGGGGAGGGAGGGAGGGAGGAACACGACGAGAGAAGGGGAAAAGGGGGGGGGGGGGGGGGGTTGTGGCAGAGCACCGGGACAAGAGGCAAGGGGTAAGAGGGAAGAGACAAGAGGCATGAGGTGCAGCACGGCACGCAGAAGAGCAAGCAAGGCATGCGATGCAATGCGAGCACCTACTTGTGCCGCCTCAACACAAGGCATGCGATGCAAGCACCTACTTGCGCAGAAATGCCTCTTCCTTGGGCGAATACAGAAACCAGTCCTCCTCACTCGCATCACCACCCCCACCACCACCGCCGCCGCCGCCACTGCCATTGACGTTGACGTTGACGTTCCCCTTCCCCTCCCATCCACCTCCCCCATCCCATCCCCTCCCCACCACCATCATCTCCTTCCCCCTCCCACTCCCCTGCGCCATCCCTCCCCCCTGCGCCCCCCCATCCCCCTGCTGTCCCTGCAACCGCCCAATCCCCCCCTCCCTTGCATCCCCTTCCCTCGCATCCCCCTCCGATCCCCCGCTCTCCCTCTCCCCGCCCTCCTGTGCCTCTCTTTCTCGCAGGTGCGCCTCCCCTTGAGCCTCCAACTCCGCTAAGCGCTGCTTGAGGCGGTGCATGCGAGGGTCTTTGCAGCGCCGTGACAGCACACACACAAGAGATGACAGCACCTGCAACTCCCTTAGGTACTCCAGGCCTGACGAGGAGGCAGGGGGGTGGGCGAGGAAGGAGGGAATGAACAGAACTGAGGGTGCTTGCAACGCCGTGACAGCACACACACAAGAGACGACAGCACCTGCAGCTCCCTCAGGTGCTCCAGGCCTGGAGAACGGGCAGAGAGAGGAGGAAGGTGGTGTGCTGACGCTGGGGGTGATGTGATGGGAGTGGGGGGACAAGAGAAGGGAGGGAAAGGGAAAGAGGGGGGAAAGGTGTGGAGGGGGAAGAGCAATAGAGGGTCACATCACAGGCAGTTGGCAGGGTAAGTGCAACACAAGGGAAGTGTGCGCCCTCACACACGTGTTGTGAGGCACCTCAAATATGGTAACTGCTACACGTGAGGAGAGAGGGGGCACACACACACACGCATGCACCTGCAGCAGGGTGGGGGAGAAGGGGAAGGTACACGCTCCACATCCACCCACATTCTCATTCACCCACACCCACCCACACCCATCCACACCCATCCACAGCCACCCACACCCATCCACACCCACCCACAGCCACCCACGTGCAGCAACGGGGTATGAACCCAGGTCTTCCTCGTGTGAGTCATCCTGTCTGTCTCGTTCCCTGGTGATATCTACCTCCCTAGCATCTGGCGCAAGTCATCTCACCTGTGGACTGCTGTCCCTGGCCCTGACATGCGTTGCGTATTTTCGAGTCGACTAAAAAATACTCGTTCCCTTGTGATATCTACCTCGCTAGCATCTGGCGCAAGTCATCTCATCTCACCCGTAAGACTCCTGCCCCTGCCCCTGCCACTGACCTGCGAGCCTCCAGTGGCGCTTCTCATCCCCTGGAATCATCTTGGTCACTCCGTCCGACTGCACACGCACAGGAGGGAAGGAGAAGGGGAAGGAGAGGGGGGGGAGAGCGGGGGGAAAGGGAGGGGGGAAAAGGAGGGGGGGAAGGGAGGGAGAAAGGGAGGGAGGAAGGGAGGGGGGAAAGGGAGGGGGGTGATGGCGGTTTGGTGGATTCTTGGATCGACTCAAAAGTCAGTGGCGCTTCTCATCCCCTGGGATCATCTTGGTCACTCCATCTGACCGCACACGCGCATGAAAGGGGGGAGTCAAATGGGCACGAGCGTGTGTGATCATACTGGGAGGCGCGGAACCACAGAGCTGCTGGTATCTGGAGGGTTCTCGAACGAGGATGGAAATTCGCAACACAGGGAATGAGGTGACTTTTGAGTCGACTCAAAAGTCACCGCAGAGCTGCTGGTATCTGGAGGGTTCTCGAACGAGGATGGATCGCAACACAGGGAATGAGGTGACTTTTGAGTCGACTCAAAAGTCACCGCAGAGCTGCTGGTATCTGGAGGGTTCTCGAACGAGGATGGAAATTCGCAACACAGGGAATGAGGTGACTTTTGAGTCGACTCAAAAGTCACCGCAGAGCTGCTGGTATCTGGAGGGTTCTCGAACGAGGATGGAAATTCGCAACACAGGGAATGAGGTGACTTTTGAGTCGACTCAAAAGTCACCGCAGAGCTGCTGGTATCTGGAGGGTTCTCGAACGAGGATGGAAATTCGCAACACAGGGAATGAGGTGACTTTTGAGTCGACTCAAAAGTCACCGCAGAGCTGCTGGTATCTGGAGGGTTCTCGAACGAGGATGGAAATTCGCAACACAGGGAATGAGGTGACTTTTGAGTCGACTCAAAAGTCACCGCAGAGCTGCTGGTATCTGGAGGGTTCTCGAACGAGGATGGAAATTCGCAACACAGGGAATGAGGTGACTTTTGAGTCGACTCAAAAGTCACCGCAGAGCTGCTGGTATCTGGAGGGTTCTCGAACGAGGATGGAAATTCGCAACACAGGGAATGAGGTGACTTTTGAGTCGACTCAAAAGTCACCGCAGAGCTGCTGGTATCTGGAGGGTTCTCGAACGAGGATGGAAATTCGCAACACAGGGAATGAGGTGACTTTTGAGTCGACTCAAAAGTCACCGCAGAGCTGCTGGTATCTGGAGGGTTCTCGAACGAGGATGGAAATTCGCAACACAGGGAATGAGGTGACTTTTGAGTCGACTCAAAAGTCACCGTAGAGCTGCTGGTATCTGGAGGGTTCTCGAACGAGGATGGAAATTCGCAACACGGGGAATGAGGTGAACAGATCGATATGAGGAGAAAGGGAGAGGAGGGGTGTGGGAGAGAGTCGGAAGTGGGGTGGCGGTGAGCAGGGGGCATCGATGTTACGAGCCATAGCCATGTAAAGGACAGGCAAACTGGCAGTTATAAGACTCTGCTCTGCTGCATTCTCCTGGACCGTCAACAAGAGGCAATCTCCCTCCACCACAACCCACCCCCCTCCCTCACTCACTCTCTCCCCCCACCCATCTCCTCTCCCTTGCCCCCTCATCTGCCCTCTCTAGTCCCCCTCACGGTCTCACCTGCAGAATCTTCCTGAGGTGGTCCATATGTGCGGGTTCCAGCAGCCGTTTCAGGTGCCTCAAAAGCCTCCTCTCGCCCCCCCTCACCTGCAGAATCTTCCTCAGGTGGTCCATACGTGCGGGCTCAAGTTGTCCCCACAGCTCCAGACTGCGAAGCATTGTCAAACGCCAAGACCCCCATTGCCTTCGCCTATTCCCCATCCCCCTCATCCCCCTCACGGTCTCACCTGCAGGACCTTCCTCAGGTGGTCCATGTGTGCGGGCTCAAGTTGTCCCCACAGCTCCAGAGCGCGCAGCATGGTGGACGCCACTTCAAACGCCAGGATTCCCATCCCCTTCGCTCTGCGCCCGCTGCCAAAGCCGCTGCCGCTGCTTCCCGTGCTGCTGCCCGTGCTGACGGTGCTGCTGCGGCTTCCCCGCACGAGCAAGCTGCCACTGCCACCACCGCTGCTGCTGCCGCTGCTGCTGCCGCTGCTGCCTCTGCTGGTTGTGGTGGTGGTGGTGTTGGTGCTGCGGCTGATACGGATACTGCCATGACCATCTGAGTCGCTACTTTGCACCCCGCTGCTTGCCCCGCTGTCACAGCTGCTGCTGCTGGCGTCACTGCTGCCCCTGCTGCTGCCTAGATTGGCCCACGCGCTCCTGCTCCGCCCCAGCTCTTTGTGGTGCCTTGAAGAATCTAACCGGCTCATATCATCATTCCCACCATCACCATCACCAGCACCAGCACCAGCACCAGCACCAGCACCACTCCCATCACCAGCATCAGCTTCAGATGTAGCGAAATCATCTTCCCCTGCTCCTCCTCCTCTGCTGTTGCTGCTACCGCTGCTGCTGGCGCCATCAGCAGCAGCATTACTCTGCCCTTTACTCTCCTCCTTGCCCTCCTTCCAGCTCTGTTTCCGCTTGCTTGACCTCTCATCGTTGCTTCGTCGAAAGCTCCTGCTGTCGCCACCACACACAGCAGCAGAAGCAAGCCCTCTCGCACTCCCCCTGCTGCTGCGACTTCGAGAGGCGAAGGAGGAGAGAGAGCGAGTGAGGGGCGGCGAGTGGGAGGAGGAGGCGGAGGAGGGAGAGGAGGAGGACGTGGGGGACCCTTGCGCGTTCTCGTTCCCGCCTGTCCCCGATATAGGGTCACCCGTTGCAGTGGAAGGTCCTGCTTCGAGGAGCGGAAGTGACGGGCGGATGATTGTGATGCCCCCACCGTCGGGCAGTCTCGGGAATATTTTTTCTGTCACGACAGAGACCATACTCTGCTGATTCCCCATTGCACCCCGCGCGTATTTATTTATCTCTTTTTTTTTCCGTAAAATGGTTGACCTAATCTGCACTCAAAATGCGCAGCAAGGAAACTGGTGACGCCTCCGTGCCGGTTGTTTACAATCTCTCCGCCGCTATGTCGAGCCGACCGCGTGGAGAAGAATGCGAGCAAGCACCGTTTCTTATCAAACGAAAACCCTGAAAATAGGATCCTCAGCCGACAGGCATCTAGTGGAAACGCGTGGCTAGGGTATAGTATCGAGAGAGGAAAGCTCAAGAATTGAATTGGCCGCCAGTTTCCGCATTTGCTTACGCCGTTCCATTCTGTGGCTACTCACGCGGCCACTTGCCCGGAGGAGAAAAGGGTAAAAAAAAAAAAGGAGGAAAAAAAAGTGGTAAACCTACAGCCAAGCTCGAGTTTTTTCGGGGGGTAGGCGTTGCCGCGAAGAGAGGTGGCAGAACGGCGAGTGATGAATCAAATGCTTGCGTGAATGTCCGCGAACGGTTTCTGCGGCTCTTTTAACAACAGAGCCTGCATTAGACCTGCTGTACAGTAAATTGTTAATGAGATAATGCTTCAGGAAAGGACCAAGAAGGTGCTCGTGAGAGGCTAGCTGTGGCGCGTAGCGGCTCGGTACTGATGACGGCGAGGCGCACGCATGCACGGGACGAATGATGCTGCAATGCTGCTGACGGCGAGCCTCGCACGATGCTAATCCGTCGGTTGGTTTAGGAAATGTAGCTCTGGAGAGCGGTAACCTCGCTACCGAGGCCTAACAGTCCGAAGGAAGGAGAGATGGATGTTGGAAATTGGCTAAACCAAAGGAAGTTAGAAATAACTTTTCGAACGGAGAAGCAGGAAGCATGGCGCACGGGAGTGGTAAAGAGCGACGGTACTATTCTGAAGGACGGGTCATTGCGACATCATGTGTCTAGTATGGGCGGGGCAAATGTCTGAAAGGAATTCTGCCAACAACGCACTAATGCGGTAGTTAGAAACTGGAGGCAAGACAATGCGACATCCGTACATGAGACTCATTCCTAAAACAGTCTGTTTCCCACGTCGGCAGCTCATGGTAGGTGTTAGGGATGGATCATGCAAGCTGGCGGCAGCAAGGAACGCTTTACGGGTTGATGCATGGATACAATGGAAAGGCGTGGAATCCGTGGATGCACTCGTTATAGTATGATCAGGATGCTAGCACAATCAGGTATCCTCTCTAATTACTCAACGGAGTAGAAAGTTTCCTGATCAACCATGTTCAGACCATCTACCTTGCTGCTCTGGATAGGGTTTGCTGAAAGTGTCACACCACATGAGCTTGCTGACAAACATTTACCGTGAAATTCAGAAACATATGATAATAAAAAAGGTCCATACATAAACTCAAGACCTGTTGTTCTAGAGCCTGCCCTGCCTGCTGCAAATAAAGCGAAAAGCTGCAGTGACCAGACAGCCACACGTAGCACCCCCTGCGTGCCTGCTGTTCTCAATGTCAGGAGCAGGCCCTCTAACAACAGACTCTGTAGGAGGCGAGTAGAATTACCATCTACTGTACTAAGTAGCGCACCTCCCGAACTCTCCTGAACTCACAAGCATTCCTCCACGACTGTTTCATCTAGAGCACACACACGCACCATTCCTCCTCCTCCACACCCCCTCCCCTCCCATTCTCCTGAGAACCGTAGTCACTTCCTCAGCCGAAACGCCCATTCTTTGGGCGCCTTCTGAAACTGCCCCCTAGCAGCGCCCGCCTCAAATCCCGGAGACGCCACCACAGCATAGAACACACTGGGCTGCACTGCAACAGCCAGCGCCACATCCCTCACCGTCTGCACGCCGCCGTCAGCAGCAGCAGCAACAGTGCCAGCGGCCCGCCACACGCCCGTGAGAGTGAAAGTGTTCAGCCCTGCCGCGCCGGCAGCAGGGCGCCTCACCCCCACTGCGCGCTGCAGGCGGCCCCACGCGCGCCCCATGGGGTTGTTACTGCCAGGGGAGGACGAGGATGCGGCGCCACTGCTGGTCCAGGCAGGGGGAGACGTGCCGTCAACACCCGTGGGCCGTGGTTGTGGACATGTCGAGGAGAGCCGGGCTGGTGGTGGTAACAAAGGCGCAGCAAAGGCACCTACACGTGCCGTCAACACTCTATATTTATTTTGTAAGCACTTTTAACGTCTGCCAAGTCCGCAGCACGCAGCGGATGCGATGCGCGGACGGTGACGCGTCGGCGAGATCGCATCGCGATTGTCGTTGAGTACGCGACAAGAGACAGCCCATTCTGGCAAGTTTTTTTCAGAGTTCTCAACGGCAGCTCACAAGAGCTGAAACGAGGAGACTGCAAGCAGGGTGCTGCTCATGCCACACACGACAGTGAGTGAGTGGGTGCGTAGTCCTGTAAGCAGGGTGCTGCTCATGCCACACACGACGGTGAGTGAGTGGGTGCGTAGCCCTGTAAGCAGGGTGCTGCTCATGCCACACACGACGGTGAGTCAGTGGGTGTGTAGCCCTGTAAGCAGGGTGCTGCTCATGCCACACACGACGGTGAGTGAGTGGGTGCGTAGCCCTGTAAGCAGGGTGCTGCTCATGCCACACACGACGGTGAGTGAGTGGGTGCGTAGCCCTGTAAGCAGGGTGCGCTGCGGGCTAGTAGTAACGCCTCGGCTTAGCAGCCACCGTCGCTTCGCGACACAGCTCACGTTCCTTGTCTGGATCGTCCTCGTCGCGCCTACGCGAGTACTGTCGGCACCACCCATGTTTCTGGAGGCGTGCGAGCAGTATGGACTATCTGTACCTCTGTCTTCTACGCCTCGGTCCGAGCCTTTTCCAGCGAAGCCTGGAGTTACATCAACACCATCAACACCTTCTATACCTTCCTCCCGAAGCCTCTACCAGATCGGGTTTAACCCACACCAACCTGCACAAAGGGCAACCGTCAGGATTCGAACCCCTGATCGGTGCCTCGCTATGAGATGTCCCGTTAGATTCTTGACCAGACCAGCCGCGGCTCCAGAGACGGAGGGTGTGAACGTGCGATTTGATCCAAGCTTCGATGGCGAACCGGTACTGGCGGTTGGGACGGAGGCTCGGTTGCGTACCGAGGGGAGAGAACAGGGAGAAGGAGAGGGGGAAGAGCCAGGAGTGAGCGAGAATAGGGTGGAAACGGAGGAGGTTGGTGGAGGAGGGCGAATGAGACGTGACCGAAGAGGGGGGAAAGAGGAGGTAAATAATGAAGGGGGCGGGAGAACGAGTGGAGGGAGGGGAGGAGGAGGAACGGGAGGATGCGAGGAGGAGGAGGAGGCAGTGGCAGTGATTGCTGGAGTGCTGAGGGAGAAATTCGGGCCTCAGATCATGAGAGAGGAGGAGGAGGAGGATTGGTCCAGAAACAGAAGGACTACGGATGGGGCAGATAAGGCTAAGGGACGAAAAGATGAGGAGGAAGGGGATGGGGATGAGGAAATAGAGTGCTCAGATGTTGAGGAGGAGGAGGAAGGAAACGCCGAGGTAGTCGATGAGGAGGACGGAAATGCAGAAGCAGACACAGAAGCGAGTGAGGAGGATGCACCACCCACCACATCTCCTCCCACGCGCCCTCCTCCTCCACGCAACAGCCCTCGGGTCGTGTCTCTCTCCTCCCTCCTCTCCCTCTACCGCTTCTTCTCCTCCCACCTCGACATCTCCTCCCCTTCCACTGTCGCTGCCCTCCTCACCTCCCACCCTTCTCTCCTTCGGTCTGATCCCACCAATAACTTGCTGCCACGTGTCCAACTCCTCCAGTCGTATGGCCTATCCTGTGCCGACATGTCAGCCATCACCATGAATAATGCATCCAGGTTCCGAGCCTCTCTTCTACAGATTCAGGATAAGATTTATTTTCTCTTGGCTCGGGGTGTACTCCGTACCAAACTAGGTTCGGTGCTCCGTGGTGCTCCATTCCTCCTCAGAATGCAGGCTCGTTCAACGAACCTGGACATTCTGGTTGAGAGGGCAGGGGTTCCTGTGAACAAGCTAAGCATGTTGATCGAGAAAGTGTCATGCTCTTAATTGTAGGAATATAGAAACAATATAAAAGCAGGACAAAGTACAGTAGCGCACAGTGCTGTAGGGACATAGGCGGGAGACAAGGGTGCCGTCGACGGGGAATTGTGCCGAGGTAGCGAAAAGCGAGGACCGTTGATAGCAACTGTAACCAGATGGGAGATACTTAGGCAAACAACAAGGTAAGTGTCACTTGCTTGCTTGTTTGTTTCCACTCTAAGCAAAGAATTGATCCTAGTGAGTCTCTAGAGTCATTGCCAGCTGAGGAGCCAATCATAGCAAGCATCTGAATATCCAAGGGGGTTGATCCCGGCAGTCAGCCGAGTTAGGTTTTCCTAGCGAAACTCAGCCTCGGACTAGGAACAATCAACAAACAAGCAAGAAAGATACGCTATCACGTGTAGCATGAACGATAGGTTCAGACTAAGATCCGGGCAGCGATACCATCGAGAGGATATCCCAGCGGAGCCAAGCTGGCGCGCGGCTGCGACGACCAACTCGGACCGACCCGCAGTAGTGGAGGCACTGTGCACCCCGGTTCCGACTTCGGGGGCGTACCGCACCCCGCATCAACGAGAGCGTGAAGGGCGGGGAGAAATGGACTCTTCCCGTAACATCGCGTCGGATCAAGGGGAAACTCCACACGATCTGCGATGGGCTCGAGAAGCGCGGGCTCGGTGGGAAGGACGACGGGCGAATAATTCCCCAGTAAAGATGCCGGGGATGGAGGCCGACAGAACACCGGGACCCACGGAATGGCTGCGCTGCCCGGCTGAAGGAGAGTTTCAGACGCCGACCAACCGGGGATTAGTGGAAAGTCACACAGCGGGGCTATCGTCGGCCGTACCACTTCACGAACCTTCGAGCGGGAAGAAATGGGCTAGCGTGGCACTCCCGAAGCTGGAAGTAGCGGAGCGCTTCACGAGAATCCCCGGAGTGGGCCCCACTTTGAAAATTTACCTGATGCAATTGGAGACGGTGCAATACTGCTGGGAAAGAGATGGGCTGGATCCTGCTGAGTTCTTCTGACGGAGGGTAGTGACATTGACGGGCGAAGCTAAGACTTTCTACCGAATGACGCGGCAGGAAGTGCTGGAGAGCTAGAATGCAGCGAAATAGAAAATCCGATGGCCCGCTTCATCGAGTTACTGAAGAAAGAGTTTCTGGGGCAGACCAAAGCGAGGGTGGAAGAGTTCCGCGAGTTCCGCTGGGGGAAAGACGAGTCTCTGCTGGCCTATTATTGCCGACTCAAGGAATTAGCGGAAGACCTGGAAAGTCGGGACGAACGACTGCTAGTGCGCAAGTTCATGAGAGGTCTAGACGAAGACCTGAGAAGCGTGGTGCGGAACACGCTGACATCACGCTGAAGGAGGTTTACGGTTTGGCGAAGAGAACAGAGCATGCACAGAGGATGCTGGACCTGGAGGACGGGGAGGTTCGAACCAAGGCAAAGTCCTCCTGGGCGGCGACAGCTCTGGTGGAGGCGCCGCAAGGGGGACCTACACGGATAGATGTGCGGTGTTGTCACGAGTGTGGAGAGCAGGGACATCTCAAACGCGATTGTCCGAAGCTGCCAACGTGCGGAATTTGCGGACGGAAGGGACATAAGGAAGAAGTCTGCTACAGCCGTCGCCGATCCGAGGAGAATCACAGCAGGGAGGAGCTACAAGCGGAGATCAAGAAACTGCAGCTGAAACTGGAGGCTAAACCGAGGGCCGAGCCGAAAGCCCGCGCGATGCTGGCATATGAAGAGATCGAAGGAGAGGAAGAAAATGAAGGAGAGTATCTGCGGGAGGGCGCCTTCATGGCGTTCCCAAGAGATAGGGACGAGATCGACCTTCGTCCCCGAGAAAGTCAGACCGCTGAGTGCCGAACGAGCAGAGTAAGGGGGCCAAGGGGCAACTTCCATGAGGGGATAAGTAATACCGAGCTGCGCAGACACCCCAACGAGAGACTGGTGTGCCAGGCTTCGGTCTTGATAGCTGAGAAGGGGAGCATGACGGTGGGTGGGTTGCCTGTGGGGCAAGCGATCATCGACACTGGCGCTCACCACGTGCTGATCGATAAAGGGTTAGCTAAGCAGCTGAAGCTGGACATACCAGGGAGGGTGGTGCCGAGGGGGATACTACTCATGACTGCCGAGGGGGGGGAGCCGAAATGGATGCCGCGCACCCTCCGGCCCATCAAGATCGTACTGCTCCCCGGGACGGAGAAGGAGTGTTGCATTCAGGTGACCTGTGGGGTGTCCGAGTCTGAAGATTATGATGTACTAGTGGGCATGGAGCTGCTGTATCGGGTCGGAGCCACTATTTGCACCTGGCAAGAGAAATTCCTGTACCGCGTACAATATTGGGACCCAGAAAGCTCAGTAGGCACCTTGCCCGTTAAGTTCGTCAGGCAGGAGCCGAAGGAAGCCTACAGGGCGCGTCAGGCGGACCTGGGCCCCGAGCTGGATGAGTGGAGCTGGGAGAGATACGCGGAGGAATACGAGCAGAGGATCGAGCGGAGAAGGAGGGGAGGGGACCCGCAATCGTTGAAAGAGAGAGTGACGAGGCTATGGACACTCGAAGGGGCCCTGTGCGTCATGGAGTTGTATGGTGGCATATGCACTGGACTGGCGGCGGTGTTGAGAGCAGGGTGCCGTGTGCGGAAGTGGGTACATGTGGAGCGAGACCCAGTAGTACGAAGGATGGCCCGACATCATACTCTGCAGCTGCTGGAAGAGAACCCGGACCAACTAGCCGAGTCCACTATACCCGCCGAGGAAGAAGAGACGGTGGACGATGTGCGGGATATCACTGAGGAGCAGCTGGAGAGCTGGGGGCAGATTGATGTGATCATAGCCGGGTGGGAATGCCAAGGTTACTCCCGAGCGGGAGAAGGGATGGGAATGGAAGACATTCGAGGAGCCTCATTCCGGGACTTGAAGCGGGTGTTGGAGATGGTCCAGAGGAAGCAGGGAGAGGTGCTTTACATCCTGGAAAACGTAGACTTCACGGAGGATGGCCGGGAACCTGTAAGGAGCGCCTTTGGCGAGGTCGAGGCAGCTGTGGGAAGAGGACTGGCAGTGGACGCGGCACAGCTAGGCTCCAGAGCACACCGGCCCCGGCGGTACTGGCAAAACGGGATCTCTGAAGCAAGCCTCCGACACGCTCTGGCTCAAATGCAGCGGCCAGAACCAAGGCTGGTGAGCGATATCCTGGGCCCCAACCGCTTACCCGCGCCAGTCACTTCTCCCGACCACCCGACGCAATATCAGTGCAACGTGCCAGGGAAGCCGAGGCAGGCACTGCCGACGCTCGTGTCTTACGTGGACGCGAGAGGGTTCGTGATGGAGGGAGATCTTCCCAGGCCCGGAATGATATACGACGTCCGTGGGAAGCGATGGGAGCAACCTACGGCGGAGGAAAGAGAGCTGGCCATGGGACACAGGTGGGGAGCCACAGCCCACCCACGCGTGACGGAAGCTCAGAGGCGGGCCGCGCTAGGCAGGGCCATGGACTTGAATGTCATGACGTGGCTGGTGGAGACAAGCCGCATGCACCTGAAGAGGAAGGAACTTCAACGCGATATAGAGATCAGCGAGATACACCAGGAGGAAGAGGAAGCTGAGAGGAGGAAGCGCCAATTGAGGGCAATAGAGGAACAGCAAGAGGCGAGAATTCTAGAAGGGTGGGCATACATGGCGGTGGAAGCAAGGGGAGCAGGACCTGAGCAAGCAGTTCAGCCTCCAGAAGGAGAGGAGAGCACCCAAACAGGGAAAGTAAACAAGGAGAGGGGGCCCGAAGATGACTGGCCCATAGGCGCAGGAATGGGGGCAGAAGCAGCCCGAGCATTGCAAGATGTCCTGAAGCAGCACCGGAAGACTTTCGCATACACCCTGCAAGAGTTGGGGCAATGTAACTCCCACCAGATGCAGGTGAAGCTGTCTACCGAGGTGCCTATATACCAGCGAAAGAGGAGGATGAGTCCAGGAGACTTGGACATATGCCGGGAAAAGTGCGCCGAGCTGATGGAGGCGGGCCTCATCCAGAACTCCGACAGTGATTATGCAGCAGCAACTGTGGTAACAGCGCGGAAGGATCTCACAGGGGAAGTATCAGCGCGGAGGATGTGCGGGGATTACCGGGGGCTAAACAAAGTGACTATAGCAGATCGGTATCCCATGCAGTCGGTCGAAGAAATATTCGACCTCTTGCAAGGAGCGGTGGTGTTCAGCACTCTGGATCTCAGACAGGGCTTCAACCAGATACCGATCAAGGAGGAAGGCAGGAAGAAGACTGCCTTCCACGGCCCAGACGGCCTGTACGAGTGGAGATTTATGCCCTTTGGCATGCGGAATGCGCCGGCTTTGTTTCAGTGGGTGAGGGATTCAGTGCTGAGGAACGTGCCGGCCGCGGCTTGTTATATCGACGATGTTGTAGTATTCAGCGCCTCGGCCGAGCAGCATCTGAAGGATGTGAGCGACACCTTGGCAGCCATACGAGATGCCGGGCTTACCTGCCACCCAAAGAAGTGCAGCTTTGGGAACAGCTCGGTGAAATACTTGGGTTTCGAGGTGCAAGGGGGGAAGCTGAGCATACAGCAAGCTAAGGTGGAGGTGCTGGACCCAGCTCCCAAAGACCGCAGCACCCTGAGAGCCGTGCTGGGTTTCCTCAACTATTACTGAAAGTTCGTACCTAACTTCAGCCGCACCGCCTCGGTCCTGAACAAGCTGCTGAGGGAAGAGCAGGCTTGGCAATGGGGAGAAGTGGAGCAGGGGGCATTAAAGGCGTTGCTCAAGGCCGTAAAGACTGGAACGGTCCTCACGCTGCCCAGTAAGGAGGACCCCTTCGTGCTATACACTGACTAGAGCAGCGCGGGGATGGGGGGCATCCTATGCCAAGAGAGGGAGGGACAGGAGATGGTCGTGGCATTTGCAAGTAGGAGTTGTAACCTCGCCGAGGCGAATTACAGCTCCTATGAAGGAGAAGGGCTAGCAGCAGTATGGGCCATTACCCACTTCCGCGTGTACCTGCAGGGGAGACCGTTTGTACTTGTCACTGACCATCAGCCCCTAACGTGGCTGATGACCAACCAGGCTTTGACAAGCCGGAACGCTAGGTGGGCGATGAGACTGCAGGAATACGAATTTAAGATACGGCACCGGCCTGGCAAGACGCTACAGCACGTGGATGGGCTCTCTCGGAACCCTTCACCCACGAGCCCTGAGGCGTGAATGGTGGCGCTAGCTCGAGAGATAGATGGGGAAGGAGCGAAGAAGAAGGCGTAGAAGGGGGCTGAGGACGTCTGGGAGGACGCTGAGACACTGCGCTGGATCCAAGGAAAAACGTCAGAGGCGGAGCCAGTGAGCGAAAGGGCCAGGGCTAGGGGGCTGCACTACCGGTGGTATCAGGAGCAGCTACAGAAGAACACTAAGGAAGGGTGGAAGCTGGTACCCAGGAAGGAGGAGCGGGAGGCGATAATAGCGAAGGTGCATCGGCGGCTGGGGCACTACGGCAGCCTACGAACAAGCCAGCTAATCGAAACAGGTTGGTGGTGGGCAGGGATGAGAGGAGATATCAAGGGGTGGGTGAGCTATTGTGAATTGTGCAGCAGGAACAGGGCTGAGCTGGAGAGGGGGAGAGAAGAGCTGCAGTCATTACCTATCAGAGGTATAGGGTTCCGTTGGTCACTGGACTTGGCAAGAGAGATGCCCCTCAGTCGGAGAGGAAAGAGATTCGTCCTGATCATGATCGAGCACGGCAGTAAGTGGGTAGAAGTCAAGGCACTACCCAGCAAGAGCTCGGCGAGGATAGTAGCATTCGAAGACCAGGTACTGACTCGATTCGGGGCATGTGGAGAGGTGCTGACCGACCAAGGCACCGAGTTCCTGGGAGAATTCGAGAAGCTGCTGAAAGAGAGTGGTATCACGAAACGGCGGACGTCACGATATCACCCACAGAGCGATGGTCTGACCGAGAGGTTTGTGCAGACCGTAAAAAGAGGGTTAAGAGCTTACGGGGAGCGGTTCAAGAGAGACTGGGATGCGCGACTGCCCTGGGTGGTAACGGGCTACCGATTCAGTAAGCAAGCAGCGTTAAGGGACTTCTCCCCATACTATCTGCTGCTGGGGAGGGAGCCCATATTACCCGTGGACGCGCCTCGACTCCTGACAGACGTGGTTACCACTAGCTCGGAGGACGAGTGGGTGGGGCTGGCGGAAGCGCGGGCAAGATATCTGCGAAAATTCCGGCAGCAGCACTGGAGAACTTGCAAGTGGCCCAGCTCCGAGACGCGCAGAGATACAAGAGGAGGAAAGAGGGCAAGGCGGAGAAGAGGGGGCAGACACTGGGAGTGGGGGAAGAAGTAAATATAAAGCAGGCTCGGCAGGACATGATGGATGTGGGCTTAAGCACAGAACGATGGAGGGTGAAAGAAGTCAAGGACTCAGGCGTAGTGGTGCTAGTGGGAGAGAAAGGCCAAGAGAAGCGGGATCATCAGATGAACGTGGCTAGGGCCCGACCCAGGAGAACACCCCAGGAAGTGGGAGTTGACTTAGCAGACACAAACGGAAGGCAGCCTTTCAACCAGGAAGTCCATCGGCAGCGGGGAGCAGGGCTGGAGCCGAGGAGGGGGCAAGTGGGAAAGGCTGAGCTAAAGACCCAAGGCAGGAAGAGAGAACTGAGGAACCTGATGGGGTGAGAGGAATAGGAGGCAGAGAAAGGCATCACCAGAGGAGCCAGCACCAGAAGAGAAGTATGGAGGAGGAGAGAGATTCCGACAAAAGCCCCAAAGATCCTATGCAGCAAAGAAAAATCCATCCGAAGCCGGCTAGAGCAGCTATCAGCGTACTTGACTGATGGATGTGAAGAAATAAATGTCAGCAGCGGGCACCTGAAGCAGCACCTGACGAGGCAACGAAGGACGAGAATCACCTGAGCAAACTCCTGTTGCGTTGTCCGCGCATCATCCTTTGCTCTCCCAATGACATCGCCACTAAACTCAGCCTCCTCCAGTCTTTCACCCCCCCGAACACCCCATCCATAGCAAACTCCGGTTCTCCGCCTTGCCCCTACTGTCGTCAGCCTCAGCTCGGAAAACCTCTTAGCTAAGCTCCAGTTTTTAGTGGAGCTAGTGGGGGAGAAGGCAGCAGGGAGAGTGGTGCAAAGCCACCCAATGATTTTTAAATTCTCTTTAGATAGCCTGCAAGGCAAGGTGGCATTGCTGAGCGATCTGATTGGCTGAGGGAATGCCGTGCTTGCAGTGGCGCAATTTCCTTTGCTGATGGGTTCCAGTGAAATGAATCTTCAGGGGAGTTTCAGAGAACTTGTGCGAGAAGTGGAAGAGGCGTTGGAGAGTGGTGAAGGGGCGTTGGAGAGTGGTGAAGAGGCGTTGGAGAGTGGTGAAGAGGCGTTGGAGAGTGGTGAAGAAAATGAAATTGCAAGAGAAAGTATTCCGTATGAGTTGCCTGAAAAGAATGCAAGTGAAAGTCGGAAGCAAGGGGAGAGCAGCGCTGGCTTCGGAGCCGGATTCAAGAGTTGGGATGAAGCCAGGGCAGGAGAAGGAGGAGGTTCTGATGGATGCTCTGGCGCCACAGCTTACCATGATCTAATGGCTGAAAAGAGTACTAGCGCCACAGCTCGTGATCTAGTGGCGCGTCTAGTGCTCAAGTCCCCAGCTGCCATCTACTCCAATTGGGAGAGGAATACGAAGCACAAGTTGGAGTACCTAAAACGGGACAGTTTGGATCAGCGAATCAGACCGCGCCACGTGGCACTGCTGAGCATGGGCTATGTGTTGGTGCCATATAAAGTGATGGCCTCTCAATGGAGAGGGGAACATAGGAGAGAGGATGTGAAGGGTTTTGGGGGAAGGGTTGTGGGAGGTGGAAAGGGGTAATGGGGTGGAAGGATGTGAAAAGGTGGAACGAGGTAAAGAGGTGGAATGCGGTAAGGAGGTTGGAAGTTCTAGTGGCCTGGAGTATATTCCAGGCAGCAACAAGTTAGGGACAAGAGTCACAGGTCAACAAGGCTCGGCAGTGGCGGCGCTGCAGCAGGCACGGAAGAAGGTGTGTTTGATTCAACTCCTCCAGTGCTCGGACAAGTTATTTGAAAAGAGATTTGGGATAGCACCAATCAATTCTCCCATAAATGGGATATAATTCCTTACCGGTAGGTTGTGCCATATTCTGTTACGTATCGTTTTCAATCGCCTTTACCCTTCACAGAGCGGCCTGTTACGAATTCAACATGGAAATTACATCCTCCACAGAGAGTAGCTCAAATGCAGGCTCAGAGCAACTGACTACCAGTAAAACATGCGGCGATTCATGTTCGGCCGCATCCCCCTGAAAGAGTTGTTGGTAGCTCGGAATGGCGTCAGATAAAGGACCTCGGGCTACAGCCACCTGCTAAAGGCAAGCACCCCCCAACCCAAGGTAAGCAAGCATCAGGAAAAATAACATTCGCATTGATAAGTACCGCCAGAGAAGACAGGGAAAAGAGCACGAGCGTTGAAGTTACGCTGTCAAAACTACTTGTTCATCACCTGATGCAAAGCACTCCATGGTATTGCCCATCGCACACTGTACTTCGAGAATTCTCAAAAGACATACGGTACGTGAAACTTGGCATGTGACACATGACGGCACATGACACATCCCGGCAAATGACGCATGGCACACAGTACACACCGCACATGGCACATGCCACACAACACTCACCCAGTGGTCACGTGGCAGTCTGTGCACAAAGAACCGCCAGGCCTGCTGCATCACCCCATCCACACACACCCTCGCCTCCCTCACCCCCCTTTCCTCCTCTCCTTCCTCCCACCTCACCCCTTCTTCCTCCTCCCCCTCCTCCCACCTCACACCACCATCAGCACAGCCCAATCCACAGTCATCAGAGCCTCGTGAACAGTGTCCTATGCTGCTGGCACCACCCCTCTGTGAACCACCACCACAGCTTCTAGCACTCTCTCTACTAGAGTCAGGCTCCCATTGAGTTTGTGCAGCAGCAGCAGCAGCAGCAGCAGCAGCGGCAGCGGCAGCGGCAGCGGCAGCGGCAGCGGCACAGCAGCAGGGGTGAACTCTGCGCTCTGCTCTCCCCCATGTGAACTCTATCCTGCTCAGGTCAAACCCCAGGCCCATGCCTATGGCCTTCACGTATGACTCCTTCAGTGCCCATACCCTGGGAGGGAAGGTGTCGGGTGGAGAAATGGGATGGGGGATGAGGAGGGCAGAGTAGGAAGGAGGACGGCAGGAGGAACGAGAGTGTGAACATACAAGGATGGAAGGCGTGAACCCATGTGACCTCCGTGCACAGAGTGAAGCTAGCAACCTGAACCTGAAAAATATCGCCTACACGTACGATTTATCGAGTACCCACATCCTGGGAAGGTACGGGTGGGGCGGACGGGGTAGGGTTTAGCGTGGGGTGAGAAACACCTGGGTTTCTTGGGTTTCCTGGGTCCCCTGGGACTCAGCCTAGGCAGTCCAAAACATTCTGGAAGACACTACCGCATAAGGCTTAGCCCAACGCATTACTTATGAGTCGACTTAATTCTGAGCCCCACACACATCTGCCCCATGTGCCCACCAACACAATTCCCCCCCCCCTCCCCCTTCTTCCCCCCTCTCCTGAGCGCACCTGTAGAAGCTGTGGTGCTGCTCCTCATGGGTGCTCTCCCCTGCCTGTTCTATGGCCGCCCATTCCCGAGCTGTCAGCAGTCCCAGCGACCGGAACGGCTTGAACAATTGCTGAGGGTCGCCGTACTTGCTGCTACTGCTGCTGCTCATACTGATGCTGCTGCTGCTACCGCTCCCGGTGGTGTTGCTGATGGAATTGGTGCCGCTGGTGGTGGTGCTGATGATAGTGGTCCTGCTTCTGCTGCCACTGCTGCTGCTGCTGCTCATACTGATTCTGCTGCCACTGCTGCTGCTGCTGCTGCTCATACTGATTCTGCTGCCACTCCCCCCATGCTTACTCCCACCAATCCCTCCTACTGGACTCCTAATCTTCAACCTTCCTCCCTTCAACTCGTTCTCTTCCGCACTCGCCCCCACCAATACCTCTAGTCCTTCCTCTCTCTGCTCGTCCCCCCCACCCTCCTCCCGCCGGTCCTCTATCACTACCCTCTCCCCCTCCCCCATTGCTTCACTCTCCACCTCTCGACACACCACAACCGCCTCCATTTCCCCCACCTCCTCCCACTCCCTGCTATACTCTCCCTCCCCACTGCTCCTGCTGCCATTTCTTTTCCTGCTCCCACCCCCACTCCGGCCACAATCGCCACTCCTCCCACGATTCCCGCCCTGCTTCAGCCTCGACAAGCACTGCTCCCTGGCTTCATCCACTGCTGAAGCAGCCGCCATGTCAGCAGCGGCGGCTGCAGAATCCGGCCAATGGTGCGCCGCCACGTCGACGCCAACGACGCCTGTGGGCTCGGAAGCAAGGACGACGAAATCCCCGTGGTGGGACACGTTGAATCGCACGCTGCTGATGTTTCCGTGGCTGCTGTTGCCGCGGCTGCTACTCCCACTGCTGCTGTTCCGACTACTGCTGTCTCCCTTGATTGAGAATCCCTGTGACCTCACATTTGTGCCATCACTGCTGTTCCGATTACTGCAGCAGTTGCTGCCATAGCTGCCGTCATGTGACTTAAACCGTTGCCCCCGCACGTCCCCCTCCTCCCTCTCCTCCCCCCCCACTGCCCTCTCTCTCCGCCGCACCTGGTAATGCGGCTTCCCCTCCTTCGTCCGCACGAGCGCCACCTCGTTCCCCCGCGCACCACATGCGCGCGCCACCAGCGCCATCTGCGCCAGCCGGCTCACCAGCGCGCGCTTGCGGTCGGACAGGCGGAGGAACCTGCGCGGGACGTGTAGGGCGTAGGCGGGGCGAGGGCATCGGCGCATAGGGAGAAAAGGAGGGGTTCGGGTGGGGAAAAGTGGTATGGGGTTAGGTGGGAAGGAAGTGGGGGTCCCAAGCGGAGGGAATAACACAGGGAGATAAAGTAAAAACGGGAGAATCTCAACCAATGGGAGAGGCTCACCTGAGAACGTGCGCGTGGTGTTCCGCGGGCAGCAGCGCCATTGCCGCCCAAAACTCCTCCGCGCTCGGCCGCCACTCCCCCACTTTTACCGCCCACCGGCACCGCGGAACGTCTCCGCCCGCCCCGTTCCCCGTTCCGCTCCCGCTGTGCGCTTCCCCCTTCGCGAGTGCACCCCTTTGCGCGCCCGCATGCGATTCGCACAGATTTTCCGCCTCGAATCGCGACGATACCCGGGGTCCTGCTTCATCGCTATCCGCTAGAACGAGCGGCATCTCCTCCGAGTATTCTGCCGCGATTGGCGCTGGCACCGCCGATAATTTCGCTCCGTGAGCATCGTGCGGACAATCGAGATTCCCCGCAGTAGTGCTTACTAAGGCCGGCAGCATGATTGCGCCCGAGCTGGCCACGCTGCTCCTAGAAGGAAAAGACGGGTGGTACGGTTGGGACGGGTGGGACGGGTGGGACGGGTGGGACGGGTGGGATGGGTGGGATGGGTGAGACGCGCAGACAACGGCGAGGTCCACGTCGCTTTGCACTCACGGAGATGGAGCGCACGCGCCGCGCAGACTGTTGGTGAAGGTCCTGCTGCTCGTTCGATCGCTGCGTATGGTGGAGCGCGTGCAGGGTTTTCACGGACGATTCAATCTCAACTTGCGACGCGTAGAACGATCTGCCGCTGTGAGAGGATCTCACGCGGCGACGGCGACTGACGGAAACAGCTTATTCAACCCAAGTAGGGTTTCACACCGGACTTGGTCCGAAAGCGTGGTTTTGATGAAAGCGAAGGGAGGAATGTGGTGTCATAAAAAGAATCTTTCTCGCTCGTTTTTCTTCAGGCGTGTTGACAAGGTCACGATCGCGAAGCTGCTACTGAGAAGGTGGATGCGGAAATGACGTGGGAAAGCGCTCCGCGTTCAGTAGACAACGCCGTGCACGGCGGCTTCAAAGGTCCCTAGGACAAGTGGAGAAACAATGAGGCGCACGTACGTAGTTGCTGCTCTTGGAGAAGTGGAAACAAATGGCCTCACGGTTTTCCAACTTTCAAATTTGAATTGCGCCACACTTGCGTGGATTTTGAGGGGATATGCGGCTCGATAAGCTTGTGGCCGGTTCGGATTGCTGATGACCATTGAGCCGAGCCAGGAACGACGGTTCGGAGACGTGCTCTGTCTCAAGAATGTGGTTCTGGTCAACCGACAAGCCTTGGCTGGGTGAGTCATGACCCGCCGACCACGTCACGACGGTCTGACATGCAATGCGCGACATGTGTCACTGCAGTGCTGGCATCAGACTTTGGATGGTGTTACGGGTGCAATGAATCGAAGTAGCGAGAATTGCACTAAGGTGTCAAACGAGTACAAAGATGTGAGCGAAGGCATGAGCGAACATTTATACGCTAAACATGCAAACGGTAACGCGGTGCGTGCGAGCTAGCTAGTGCTATGCTGGCAGCGAGGCTCGGGCTAGTCCCGAAGCGTAGGCCGACACGGCCGGGCCAGCAGTGCGAGGTTTGGCAAAACAGTGCGCGTGAAGTTGGCGAAGTCCCGTTAGCAGTAACGGGCGAACAACGGCTGTTGCTGTACGCGATGTAGTCGGGCTCCGTAAGGAATGCCGAGAAAATTCCTTACACTACCCCCCCCCCCTCAAGAAGCCCCCTCCGCTACGCGAGTGCATGTATATCGCGGAATCCCCGGCTCCTCAGGTACACTTGCAGGGCAGGGTGGTTTTCAATGTTGGCCAGGGGCACCCAGCTATCTTCAGTTGGCGTGCGGTCCTTCCAGCGAACGAGGAATTCAATCCTCCTGATTCCCGTGGAGTGGCGAATCCGATGACTCAGAATTTTTTCGGGTTCGATGATCGGCTCTGATGCAGGGCGAGTCATGGATGGCGGGCGGTGGCGAGGCAGTTGGCTTGTGATTGGGATGTATGGGCGAAGCAAGCTGACGTGGAACGAAGGGCTGATGTACCAGTCGGTCGGTAATAGTAGGTGCGCGGTTACTGGCGTGATCATGTGGCTGATTTGGAATGGGCCACAGTAGCGCGGTCGAAGTTTTGGTACGTCGGGTAGTCGCAGATTTTGCGTGTCGAGCAGTACGTAATCCCCTGACTGGTATGTGACTGGGCGGCGGTGGCGGTCAGCGTTGCGCTTAGCAATGACGTTTGCTTTTTTAATTGCTTCTGCGGCTCTGGTGCGGGCAGCTTGCAGAATTTCGGCGAATTGTTGTGCGCGTGGTGTTCGGTTGTCCGGACTCGGCGTCTTGGGCACTGTAGGATTTTGCCCGTAGTTCAGGTGAAAGGGGGACTGCTGTGTCGTCGCTGACGTGGCGTTGTTGTACGCGAACTCGATCAGCGGCAGCTGCTGCTCCCAAGTCGTGGGGTCGTCGCATGTGGCACGAATCAACTGCTCCATCGTCTGATTTGTCCGCACCGTTTGACCGTCAGTCTCGGGGTGGTACGACGAACTGAACTGCAGCCTGGTTCCGAACTGCTCCCAGAGGTTCTTCCAGAAGTTGCTGGTGAACTTCGTGTCCCTGTCGCTCATAATCGCTGCTGGTATCCCGTGCAGGCGAACAACGGCTGCGATGAACAGACGAGCGGTCTCTTCGGCTGAGATCGACTTTTTGCACGCAGCGAAGTGTGCCATCTTCGTCAACCTGTCAACGACGACCATCACCGCGTCGTTACCCCCAGGGTTCGAAGGTAACCCTGTGACGAAGTCCATGGTAACCTGCTGCCAGGCGCGCTCGGGCGGTGGTATCGGCTGCAATTGACCCGCCTTCCGCTTCCTCGAGCTCTTCATCACCTGACACGTGGGGCACGAGCCCACGTGCTGCTGCACGTCGGTCAACAGCTCCGGCCAGTAGTAATACCGCTGCAGTTGCTGTCGCGTTTTTTCTACCCCAAAATGTCCCGAGGTAATTCCGTCGTGTGCCTCCTGCAGTAGCAGCTCCCTCAGTAGTGAGTACGCGGGTACCCAGATGCGGTTGGTGCCTGTTTTTACGTAATAAACTCCTAGCTTCTGCCAGTTGCTGTGAATTTCCGGCCGTGAAAAACGGGTCGGTGCGGTATCCGTGGGTGAATAGGCCTGTTAAAAGCGGGTTGGTTTGGGCGAGTAGGATGGCATGGAGTTGGGCAGTAGGGCGAGTGAGTGCGTCGGCGATGTTGGAGGCGCCTTTCTTGTACGTAACCATGTAGTGGAAGTTAACCTCGAGGTAGTCCAACCAGCGGATCTGTCGCGGATTGAGATTTGGTTGGGCGCGTAGGTACTGTAGTGATCGGTGGTCTGTCCGTACTGTCACGTCGGCGCCCGTCAGGTAACACCGCCAAACCTTGAACGCGTGAACGATCGCCAACATTTCGCGGTCGTGTATCGGGTAGTTGCGTTCGGGCGGGTGCAGCTTGCGGGACTCGTACGCGATTGGCTGGAGGCCGTTCCCGAAATCCTGCAACAGTACTGCTCCCACAGCAATGTCACTTGCGTCAGTGACGAGCTCGAACGGACGGTGTGGATCTGCGATGTGAAGCACGGGCGGTGAGCACAAAATGTTTTTGAGGGCCGAGAAGGCAGCTTGCTCTTTCTCCCCCCACTTGTACTCAACCCCCTTCCTCAGCAGGTCTGTCAGCGGGGCAGTCAGCTTCGCCATGTCGGGGACGAACCGGCGCACGTAGTTGACGAACCCCAAAAAACTCTGCAACTCGGCCAAGTTGGTCGGCGCGTGCCATGCTTGAATCGTCGCAATTTTCTTCGGGTCTATTTCCACTCCTGCAGCTGAAATAACGTGTCCCAAAAATTCCAGGCGGTCCTGGATAAACTCACATTTAGACGCTTTTGTCAGTAGGCGGTTCTCACTCAGTATTTTAAAAACTGCTTCGATGTCCTGTAAGTGCTGTGCTCTGTCAGGGCTGTAGATTAGTATGTCGTCCAGGTATACGATGACGCACTTATCTAAGAGCGGGCGGAAAGCTTCGTTCATGGTCATTTGAAAAGTGGCAGGGGCGTTGGTCAGTCCAAAGGGCATGACGGTGTATTCGAAGGATCCGTAGCGTGTTCGAAATGCGGTCTTAGGGCAGTCGGGTGGATTGACGCGAATCTGGTGGTAACCCCCGCGGAGATCGATTTTCGAGAAAACCCGGGCTGTGCGCAGTTGGTCGATCAGTTCGTCGGCTCGCGGGATGGGGTAACGGGATTTGATGGTAACCCTGTTCAGTGCTCTGTAATCTATGCACATGCGAAATCCCCCGTCTTTTTTCGGTGTGAACAGTATCGGTGCTGCGAAGGGCGACGAACTAGGGCGAATGAATTCCTTCTCGAGCAGGTAATCGAGCTGCTTCCTCAGTTCGTCCAGTTCGGGCTGGGTCAGTCGGAACTGTCGCTGTACTATTGGCTGTGCCCCCGGTTCTAACTCTATCCTGTGGTCGTGCGGTCGCTGAGGTGGCAGTCTGTCAGAATGAACAAGAGTGCAAAAGAAGAATGACGAAAGAGGGGTTTCACTAGCAGCAGTTGGGATACATATAGCAAACCCTAACTGGGTTGTACTCGCTATAGAGCACCCCACTACAGGCTAGATAATAACATTCTGACACACCCCCATAGCCAAAGTGGGGTGTAATCAGCACAATGAGCAGACATAGTAATAGTTCACAATTATAAGCAAAGCTAGAGGCGATCACAGAGGGCAAGTGAGGAGGAGGAGGAATTGTGAGGGGAGAGAAGATGGGAGACGACGGCTGAAGCTGCAGACACACGGGCAACAGGAGGACTGGCACAGTGGCTACCGAGCGCACGAGGGCACCGGACTACGGGAGTATCTGGCTCCGCGGCTACGACGAGCGGCAGGAGCAACGGACCCACAGGCGACTGGCACAGCAAGGCTCTCTGGGCTACCGAGAGCGCGACGGCTCCGGACTACAGGCGCTGCGCACGACACGATGGCGGCCTCCTCTCAGCCTCCCCAAACAGTCCCACCTCCTTTCCACACACCCCTTGCCGCACCCCTAGCTCCACTCCCACGTCACCCCCACAACTCCACTCCCCGCGGCT